CTGCAATTTCATGGCTATCTGCTAAATTTTTACATTGTTGCTTAAGTTTTGCACACCAGTGTAGTTGCGATATCGGAATATAAATGGTCAAAACATGCATTGTCATCCAAACTAAACGTGTATATAAAATTTCAACTCAACCAGTTGAAGACATCAGCTTCAGAATTGAGTTGCAAGATTCCACCCGAACATTTTACATTGCAAGTTAAGTAAAAGCTTGTAAAATTATACCATACTTTGTACGTATGCTGAGTGGAAGTATTGTAAAATACTCCGTTGTTCAAATCAAATGAATTTCAAAAATAATTTACACGAAAAAATAATAATTGGAGGCGCGGGGTATCGATCCCCGTACCTCTCGCATGCTAAGCGAGCGCTCTACCATCTGAGCTACGCCCCCGGTCAACACATGTCGTACTGTAAACATGCTCGCCTTAACACCTGAACAAGATCGTTACAGTGACTAGGTCAATTAAAAGTGTTACGGGAGAAACTAGAATCGAGTAAATAGATATCATAGAATGATTCAAAGTAATTAGAAATAGCTTGATAGATCTGCCTTTCCTAGTGTTCCCTCTAGAACAGTAAAAATATAACATACTTTGTACGTATGCTGAGTGGAAGTATTGTAAAATACCCCGTTGTACAAATCAAATGAATTTCAAAAATATTTTACACGAAAAAAAATAATAATTGGAGGCGCGGTGTATCGATCCTCGTACCTCCCACACGCTAAGCGTGCGCTCTACCATCTGAGCTACGCCCCCGGTCGACACATGTCTTACTGTAAACATGCTCGCCTTAACACCTGAACAAGATCGTTACAGTGACTAGGTCAATTAAAAGTGTTACGGGAGAAACTAGAATCGAGTAAATAGATATCATAGAATGATTCAAAGTAATTAGAAATAGTTTGATAGATCTGCCTTTCCTAGTGTTCCCTCTCTAGAACAATAAAAATATAACATACTTTGTACGTATGCTGTGAGTGGAAGTATTGTAAAATACCCCGTTGTACAAATCAAATGAATTTCAAAAATATTTTACACGAAAAAATAATAATTGGAGGTGCGGGGTATCGATCCCCGTACCTCTCGCATGCTAAGCGAGCGCTCTACCATCTGAGCTACGCCCCCAGTCGACACATGTCTTACTGTAAACATGCTCGCCTTAACACCTGAACAAGATCGTTACAGTGACTAGGTCAATTAAGTGTTGCGGGAGAAACTAGAATCGAGTAAATAGATATCATAGAGAATGTGATTCAAAGTAATTAGAGAAATAGCTTGATAGATCTGCCTTTCCTAGTGTTCCCTCTAGAACAGTAAAAATATAACATACTTTGTACGTATGCTGAGTGGAAGTATTGTAAAATACCCCGTTGTACAAATCAAATGAATTTCAAAAATATTTTACACGAAAAAAAATAATAATTGGAGGCGCGGGGTATCGATCCTCATACCTCCCACAGGCTAAGCGTGCGCTCTACCATCTGAGCTACGCCCCTGGATCCCACCATTGTTATTGTAAACATCCTCGACTTAACATCTGAACATGATCGTTACAGTAACTAGGTTGATATCGGAATATAAATGATCAAAACACATGCATTGTATTTCAAACTAAACGTGTTTACAAAATTTCAGCTCAACCGGTTGAAGACATCAGCTTTTGAATTGAGTTGCAAGATTCCACACGAACATTTTACATTGCAAGTTAAATAAAATCTTGTAAAAAATAGTAGCTTATACATTAGACTTATTTATGTTGAAAGAATAGCGATATGTTGTAATTTTTATGTAAATATTAACGTAAAATAAAACTAAATGTGTTTTTTTACACCTACTTCCTAATTCTACATCAATTCTCGCAAGAATCGAATTATATCGAATATTTCCTACTGCGTAGCAGCCTGAATCACTGGTAGGAAGATTTGCCACACCACAGCTGTTAGGTTACAGACCCCCTGAGCTAGACCATATCAACGAATTTAAAACTTCTCAATAAATTATAAACGAAATCTTTTTTGTGTAGTAATTAACTCTTCCTTGTGTCAAGCTCCATACCTTTTTAGAGGATCAGGGATGAGTCTTGCAAAATTTCAAATGGTAAACGTCGGTAAAGCTTTTTTGTCCTTAATCAAAAGAATTCTTAAGGTATCCGCGACTACATGTAAAACCTTTTTTTTATAATAAAACAAATTTTTTTATTATTACCATTAGATTCGTTTAGTAAATTGAAGCAATGGCTAAAACAAGGGTGTAAAACTCAAAGGCTGACTTGGGCCAAATAAACAAGATTTAACTTAAGGTAGGTTGCAAGGAAAATCAAAATTCATTGAAACGTAGGTTTATTTCGAGTAAACATATATAAAAGAACAAGAAAAATTTCATATGTACTTCCTGACATTTGACATCTGCTGCTAACTTTCCTATTTCCAGAAATATTGATATTTTATTATATATTATTGTGTGCCAATATATTAAAAGTTCGCTGTGGGCCGCATGTGGCCCACGAGCCACGAGTTTGACAAGCATGGGCTGCAACTATAAAGAGAAAAAAATTAACATCAAAGTAAGAAACAGATGATGTATAAGCACAGTTATATAAACGCTCACCGCTCTGAACCACTGTATATAAACGAATTCTCAATTTTTGTGCAATTTCGATACATTATACTACCATTTATTTCTGAAATAACCAAAAAAGTAAAATGTTTAAGTGGTTGTAAATTTTGTAACAATCAAGCAGAGAATGTCAAAACGCGATTATAAAAATAAAACACAAAATATACATAAAAATTTCAGTTATTTCAATTTTCTCAGCAATAATTGTCTCATTTCAAATTTTCCGCGTTTTCACGTCGTTAGCTGCATGCTGAAAATGGCATCCGCTCTTACTAAAATAGTTGTAGCAGTTGTGCAAATAAATACAAAATAAAAAAACTTGGTATTTTTATGAGCCTAATAAATCGATCTAAAAATTAAACTATAAAATATTTTTGTGTGTGTATATATATATATATTTTGAAATATGTGATTTTAAATGTCGGATATCTAAATTTATAAGCCAACAAATCTACAATGAGTGAGTGAATCTTAACGTCACACTGTTCAGCTACACGAGGGCTTTTGACGTCGGACCTCGTAATTTTGAACCATCAACAAATCGGGAGAGAAAGTTTGTTGAGATGTCCTTTTAAAAAAATTACGTTTTTGATGCAAATAATTGTACTTTTTTTTTACGATAAAAAAAAGTCAATTTTCTTCCCTTACATTTTAAGAATATCTCTTTAATCCATATTTTAAAAGTTCAGAGTCTCTGGAGAAGTCTTGGCTATATATAGGCTCTCTCTCTCTCTCTCTAAATATTAGAGAACAACTTTTTTTTATAAAAGGAGAATGTTTTCAAAATAGGTGATTCTATATTCATTTATTGACAAAGTATTGCATTTAAGCAATTTTTTATTGTAATAATACTCTGAAAACAATTTTATGCGTGTATTCTAAACTAAATGACACTAAATATTTAAAAAATATGTATCAGTTTGAACGCATTTGCGAAATAACGATTCCGAATGTAGTCGGATACCTTAAGATTATAATTCAGCTGTAACCACACAATAGACCAGCGATACCCAACCTGAGGCCCGGGTGCCGCCGGGGGCCCCCGGACCTTTTTTTTTTTTTGTGCCCCGGTCATAACCCATTGCTCTGAGAAATTCACTTATCCAAGAACAATGTATTAAAAATTTGGTGGGAAATTCTTTGACAAGAAATCAAATATATCAATTTTGCTTTTTACTGTCGATGTCGAATGGCTGCGAATTGACATTCTTTTTCTGTTTGGAACGGTTACGCGGTCAGTGATAACAGACAACATTAGAGTAGCGACAATGTTATGGGTGGAACTAATTTTTAACAATCTTTCATACCTTGAAAGAGAAAAATATTCGAACGGTTTTGAGGTTGACGGTTTTGCAGTGAAAAACAAACACGGATCAGTACTTGTTTGATTAGTCACAAAAGTGCTGCATTTAAAAATGCCAATAAACGGGAATCATTTAATGGCACTTTTCCTCCAAGATCTCTTTTAAGAGATGCAAATAGACTTTATTGAATATTCTTTGCAAAAACAACAAAGTGTTTTGTCAGTGGTCATGTCACAGCATTAACAAAGACATCATATAAAGTGTATTATATTATTGGTAATCATATGAAACCGTTTACTGATGTAAAAATTGTGAAGGAGCGTTCCTTGTATCCGACTACTCTAAAATCATGATTTTTTAAAACAATGACAATTGTTTATGCTTTTATGTTATAGGCCATCTTATTAGCTTTATAAAAATACCAAGCTTTTTATTTTCCATTCACTAGAATAAAAACTACAAGTGTTTTAGTAAAAGCGGATGCCATAACTTTACATAAGATGTCGAACTTTAAAATGCGTTTTACTCGAAATGTATTTTTCGAAAATATCAAACGCGCGAGGACAGTGATTACTCAAAAAGTTTTTATAATAATTGGCTGAAATTTTGTGTGTATGTGTTGTGTTTTGTATAACACAGTAGAAGTCTTTTAACCTTCAGATTTATCTCAATCTCAGTGTTTTATTACAAAATTTACAATTATCACTAATTTTTTAAGCAATTTCATATAATAGCTAAGATAAAGTGTTCTAGTTTTTGTAAAAATTAAAATATCTCTCTCTTATCCTGAAGGTCATTTAAAAAAGGAATAGCTAAGTAATACATCAAAACTGAAAAATTGAGAATTTTTTCATTAACTATTTGTACAGAGCGGGTCCGTTTATGTAATTTTTTGACAATTTTTACCCATTTTTTCCCCCATTTTAGTAGTAATAATCTATTTTTCTCTTAATTTTAGCCACTTTTTTTTCTTAAAATGTAATAAATAAATCTAAAATCCACAAAAAAAAAACTCCATATCTCCCTTTTTTTTCAAAAAAAGTTGTCGCAAGTAGGCGGATACCATAAATATTTTTAGTTTAGTGTTAGTGACAAAAATAAAAAATATATATAAAATAATAATTAAAAAAGCAAAACTGGAGTTATAATATTTTGATCAATTTCCACATTTTAATTTTTCTATGTTACCTTGGTCTTCAAGCATTTCTTTCGCCCCCCCCCCTCCTCTATTAATTCTCATCCTGCGGCTCGCGTGAAATAGCCATCATATGTATGCGGCCCAGCAGGAAAAAAAAGTTGAGTACCTTTACAAAATAGGCTGAAACCATTGTGTCACGTGTGGTTTTTCAGAGATGTGACCAAATCAAAATCACGAGATATTCCGATCGTTTCCGAGGATGAACAATATACTCGGAAAATATAATGGGAATTGATTATATTCTTCAAATCAACCAGATTCCTACCATCAAATCCAATTTTCATTACAAATATAAATGTTATAAGCTCTGTTAATGTTCTTTTTTGGAAAGCGTGTGGCCGCAATAGCCGAGTGGTATAGGTATCCGATCGTGGGTGGCTTTGTCACGAGTTCCAGCGCAGTACCACTAAAGACCCGCCGTGTAGAGCCGCGATGCACGCTAAACCTGTGGAGAGCTGAAACGTCCTCCCGTTGGTGTGGTAGTTAGGAAAGGGGGGTGCCAGCTCAGGTGCCGTCCACGTCACTTGACCACGGTTCAAAATTACGTGGTCCGTCGCCGAAAGCCCTCGTGTAGCTTAACAGTGCGACGATAATATTTACTCACTTACTTTTCGGAAAGTGTTATCTGTATTACCATT